TTGATGACAAAGCTGATCATGATGGTGCCAGTGGTTAGAAGTCACCTCAGAGAGAACTAGTCCAACTCTTGCATTTCACTGATGAGAAAGGTAAAACCAGAAAGGTACGAGCAACGTCCAAAGCCAAGCAAGCCCATAGCGCATAGCAGAAGTAGGAATGGCCCTAAGTCCTCTGAAAGGCACTGGATGTCAATGAAGCAAAGGCCTTAGAGTCCGCACCAAGAAGATGGATGGATACACTCACCCCACACAGTGACTCCATCTCTGATATCACGATAACTTGGAACAATTAAGGGCATCTAAGGTCGCCCTGGGCCTGATCTGCAGGTAATCCAGTCCTGTTTTCATAGGCTTTGCTAGGCCTCCTAGGAATACCAGTGAAGGGGACTATAGAGCACAATGCTTGGACTGATTTAAGCCATCCCTTGGAGGAAGGAAGGAAAAGGTTGCATTAGACCAGGGTATCCTAAGAAGGCAGATAATTCACCTGGAACTTAGAAGAGTTAAATGATAGTGGGCTTCGATCAGAGTAAGAAAAAGAAAGTGAAAAGGAATTAAGGCAAATGAAGGATTAAAAGGGCAGAGAACAGAGCTGCATAAAACAAGGACAAACACAGAGGTTTAGCAGAGGCTAGAAGAATTGTTCACAGAATTAGGAGAAACACAGCAGTGGAATCTCGGAACCCAAGAGAAGAAAGTTCTGAGAAGGAATAAGTGGACAGCAGTGTCAAATGCTGCAGCGGGCTCAAATGAGGTGAAGACTTTAAAATATCCACTGTATGTGGCAACATGGAAGCCACTGGTGAACTTACTGAGTCACTTCAGTACGGCACTGCCAGCAGAATCCTGGTTGCAGTGACTTGAGGAGAGAATGAGAGAAAATGGAGCCATCAAGTGTAGATCATTACTGGGCAAACTGGTTGAGAAGGAGAGCGAGGGGGACGATGGCAGCTGGGGGTATACAGGAGCATGTCCTAGACCTTTACTCAAATTCAGCACACACAGGCAGGTCCCTCATTCTCAAGGCCAGAAGGGAAAAGGGAGTCCCAGCTTTCTGTGCCAGCCTCTGCTGTACAGAATCATGGTTCCTGGGGAACCATGGATAATTTGTATAAATTATCCACAGTAACAGAGCTCTGTGCCCATACTGTTTGCAAGATGTATGCATGGGGTATGATAATTGCAATAGCCACCATTTACTGAGAGCTTATTTAAGCAAAGCTAAGAGCTTTACATAAATTATCTCATTTAATCCTCACAACAACTCTGTGAGGTGGGCCTTATTATTTTCTTCAATTTGAAAATGATGAAACCTGAGACACAGAGAGTTTAATTAGCCTGCTCCAGGTTCTCCAGCCAACAAATGGCAGCATTGGGATTCAAACCCAGCCTCAGTCTACTCCAATGCTAGTTCTTCTAACTGTGAAGCCTGCCACGGTCCCTCAAGCTGGACTCCAAATCATAGGCCTTGGGATCACCTGGGCAGCATTTGAAAAATGCAAATTCCCGGGTTCCACAAAAGATCTTCTGACTCCGAATCTATAAAAGTGGAGTCCAGAATCTGTACTTCTATCAAGCACCACAAACGATTCTTATGCTCACAAAGTCTTCTGTGAAATATTTACTTCCTTATTGTTTGAGCTGCCTGTCGTTGGTCTTCGCCCACATTGGGAGTCATAGTCTTCCCTGATGATAAGGATGGCCTGGACTGCTTGTCTGAGATAAAGACACTTCTCAGGCCTTAACTTAGACCTGTTAAATAAGGATTTCCAGAGACAGGCCTAACAATCTGTACATTTAGCAAGTCCTCCCAGGCAATTCTTGTCTTCAGAGAAGGCCTAAAAACACTGTTCTGTGATTCCCAGTTGAAAGCATCCTTAGCACCACTCTGGGCTCTAATGTCGGTTCTAACACCTGATCATTCCAAGCTTCACTTTCTTCATCTGTAAAACGTGTATAAATATGTCTGCCTGGTAGAGCCATTGTGAAGATTAGCACTGTGCCAATTAGAATTAGATTTACCTGCTTATAACAAAAATAAATCAACAGTGGCTTAAACAAAAGGGTTTGGAGCTAGGCAATACAGAGCTGGTACGAGGTCCCTAATCATTACAGATGAAGACTCTTGCCATCTGTCTGTCTGCCCTTTCCTCATTAACATATCGCCTCTTGGCACAAAACAGCTGCTGAGGCTGCAGTCATTTTGTCTATAATCCTGTCAAATGGAAGGGAGAAGGTATGCACCTTCTAGCCAAATCAGATCCCCTTGAGGAACATTTCTGGAAGGTTCTTATAACACTTCTTTTTATATCGCATGACCAGAACCACATGATCAGTCATAGAACCACACCTAGTTGCAAGGAAGGCTGGGAACTGAAATCTTTCAGTTCAGCAACAGGCTTTTGCCATTCCAAATAAATGAGGCTTCTGTTACTTAAAAAGAAAAGCAAATAAATATTGATGTAGTAGTCACAAAAATGTGCTCCCACGCCTTCCTGTTGCAGGGAGCTGAGACCCGCTACTGTCGTGCTTTGAAATCCATTGGCCATGCCTCCCATGGGCTGCACCTCGCCAATGGCTGAGTGTGGTGGGGTACAAAGTCAGACCCAGTCCTGAGAGAAAAAGGACTCCTTTGTTGGTTAACTCTGGCTCAAGAACTGCCTGACAGCTCTGCCAAACCTCCGTTAGACTGGATTTTCCCTAAACCGTTCGATCATCTGGGACACTTGCACCCATCCTTCTTTCCCTCTCTCCTTCAGTTGGGTTCTGATGGCCCTCCTGGCATTCTCTACCTCCCTCCCTATTCCCTTTCACAAGGGTACTTCCCCCGGTAAAATCCTTGCACTTTTAATCCCATCTTCTCGAAAGATATGGACTAACAAAATTGGCAAAGCAATTCACAGTCTCTAGCACAGATTCAATAATGCATGCAACACTTGCATAACTCAGGGATGGATATGTAGTAGATACTCAACAAACAGCAGCTGTGTGGTGATAATGGTGGGGGGGGGGGGGGGAAGTAGCGCAGAGCCAGCCACAGAGAAAGGCGTGTTCACAGATGGGGAGGGACGTCGGGTCTGAAGCAAATCACTCTGACTCTCCTTCACCTCCAGAATATTTCTATTAGAGTAAATCTGGTTAAAATTGGCACCAAAGTCAGTATGAAAGGGGGAAAATAGACTCTAGTTGTCATCAGAGGAAAATTGAACTGTTATTACTTACCATCAGCCATTTCAAGTCATTTTTCAACAAAAAGAAAGGAAAAAGATAAATAGGGCAGAGCTGAGACAAAATTGCACAAAATAAACCCAATGTCCTGGGCAACGCTGCTTCTCATGTTGGAAAAACGGTGACCAGAAATGACTTCTCACGATGACCTAAGAACACTATTACCATGAGAAAGTTTTCAGTACGGAAATTAAGGCGCATGCCAATATCTAGAAAAATAATAAAAGAATTCCAACGAGAAAACATAGCGTGAGGGAAGGCACGATGCGGGCAAAAGGTGGATGTAACCTATATATGAAACAAAAGTTTCAAGGAATTTAACCAACATCACGTACTTCGCACATGGTAGGAGCTTAACGAATGATGGTCGCCCAGATAACTGATTCTCTCTCTCTCAAGATTGTACTTCACCCTTCATTCATTCATTAAAGAAAACTTTGTAGAAAGTCTATTATGTGCCAGGCCCTGTGCAAGGCACTGAAGGTGCCACAGTGAACAAGACAGTTGATGTCCCTGCCCTCATCACCCTTCTGCGGAGAAACCTCCTTTACAGACATTTTATGGGCCCCTCTTCCTCTGTGTTTCCATGGACACAGCCTGAATTAGCACTCTCATCTATCAGATTTAAAGCCCATACATTGCTTCTGAAATACCTTCTCAGTCTCCAAAATCAAGTTGATGCACCCATGTAAATTTATCCCTGATGCACCTTTGGATTTCCATTGGCCTCTGTATTAGTTATCTATTGCTGCATAACAAATCACCCCTTCTCCAAACTTAGCAGCTTAACAAAGATTGATGATCTCACAGAGCTAAGGAACGACTTGGCTGGATGGTCTAGGTCAGGGTCTCTCATAAGGTTTCAGCCAGGGTGTCAGTCGGGGCTACGGTTATCTGAAGGCTTGACGGGGGCTGGAGGATCTGCTTCTAAGGTGGCTCACACACATGACTAGCAAGTTGATGCTGCCTGTTGCCAGGAGGCCTCCGTTCTTTGCCACATGGGTCTCTCCAGAGGGCTCCTCATGACATGGCAGCTCACTTCTCCCAGAGCACGCGATCTGATAGAAAGACCGAGAAACCAAGCGAGAAGCTGCGATGTCTCTTATAACCTGATCTCAGCAGCGACACACCATCACGTCTCCTGTATTCAGTAGGTCACACAGACCTCCTCTTGACACAATGTGAGAGAGGCTCCACAAGGGCGTGAAAACCAGAAGGCGGGGTTCATTGGGGTCATCCTGGGGACTGGCCGGCACCAACTCCACCCAAAGCCTTGCAGGGAGATGGGGCGTGCGCAAATTTCTCTGTTTGAAAATACAGTAGTCCCCTCTTATCCATGGTTTCACTTTCTCCAGTTTCAGTTACCCACGGTCAACTGTAGCCCAACAATAGTAAATGGAAAATTCCAGAAATCAACAATTTATAAGTTTTAAATTGCATGCTATTCTGAGTAGCATGATGAAATCTCGTGTGGCCCCGCCCAGGGCATAAATCATCCCTTTGTCCAGCGTATCCACGCTGTACGTACAGTACAATAAGATCTTTTGAGAGCAAGAAGCACATTCACGTAACTTTTATTACAGTATATTGTTATAATTGTTCCACTTTATTATTGTTGCTGATCTCTTGCAGTGCCTAATTTATAAATTAAACTTTATCACAGTTATGCAGGTATAGGGAGAAACATGGTATATATAGAGTTTGGTACTAAATCCACGCTGTACGTACAGTACAATAAGATCTTTTGAGAGCAAGAAGCACATTCACATAACTTTTATTACAGTATATTGTTATAATTGTTCCACTTTATTATTGTTGCTGATCTCTTGCAGTGCCTAATTTATAAATTAAACTTTATCACAGTTATGCAGGTATAGGGAGAAACATGGTCTATATAGGGTTTGGTACTATCTGCAGTGTCAGGCATCCACTGGCGGTCTTGGAACATATCCTCCACAGATAAGCAGGGACGACTGTATACAAAGGCACGCGGTAGTGAATTTACTGTCCTGGAACCCCAGTGTTTGAGCCCCATAAACCCACTTTTCCTCGGTTGCAGTTTAGCATCATGCCACAGGCCTGCATCGAAGGACTTCATAGAAACAGCTCCAATTAAGTCACTGGTGTTTGTTTCACTGCTCAGTCAGTGTCCTCTCTGAAGACCCACAGGAAAAACATCTCTCTGGTCTCAGGATCAGGAAAAGTTGTGTTTCTCCTGAATAATGACTTTGTTTTCCTCCTATAAAACCTGGAATTTTATTGCCATTCATGTTTCCCTCTTTCCTCTGGCTGTTTAGAAGCTCAGAACCAACCGTGTGCTCGCATCCATCTGCTTGATCTAACGTCATCCTGGAGTTATTTTTTCCACTTGTTCTCTATTTTCTCCAACTATCTCAACTTTCCATTTTATCCTTTTGTATATTTGTGCTTTTATCACTCATCTGAAAGCTTTTGTGGACTGGAGTACAAAAGCATAATAAAATTAAAGTTTTTGTGCAAAGACTGATGACTTGCACACATGTGCCATCTAGTGGTGAGAGTGATAACTACCAGAATAGAACCCCCTGATTTTTCAGGTTTGTCTTTGCAGGGAAGAAGAGTGGGAGGGATGGAAGGGGAGGGAGACTAAGACTTCTGTGTTTTGTCAAGGAAAAGAGACTGCTGGGGGTTAAAAAGACTCCACGCAGGGCAAAAAAAAGTAGGTGATTCAATGGCTGAAATCTAACATGACTTAGTGGAATCTGAAGCAGCAGCCAAAAAACAGTAAAGACCTTGCAAATGAGGAAGGCACTAGCGATGCAAGGGTTAAGTGAAAGGTGTTAGAAAAACTAAACAATGAAAATAGGCCAGATTCAAGCATATGATCACTTGAAAGGTACTTAATGTGGTTTGATTGCAGATGTGACCAGCCATTTTTTAAGCATTCACATTACCTTAGGAAGAAGCTTAGAGTCTAATGTTTTTGTTTTACTTATGAGAAAACTGGGGCCCAGAGGCACTGAGCACCTTGTCCAAGGTCTTATAGCCTGTTAGTCACAGGTCCAGGGTGACCCTGAGACCAGTCCTCTTTCCCCAGAACCACACTGCCTCTAATCATATGTAGCAGATGCTCATTTGGGTTTTCATTTTGCACACAGGATTTCAAAATAAAAATCCGATTATCACATAAAAGTGCTGGATACAGCATGTTTCCAAGGAATTATTACTCACTGGTTTTGCAGCTGTCCCTTGGCACACCCCAAAGGGTCAGGATGGAGGAGGTGGTTATGAAGCACTGGTTTCATTAATCTTCACTGGATGACAGAAGTCATTAGTCCATAATAAGGAGGGATTCTAGAAGCCAAACGCAGTAGCTGAGGAAGCCCTAGCCTGGGGAAGAGAAAGTAAATTCATTCATCCACAGTGTTAATCTAGCACTTGCTCTTGGCCAGGATCCGGGGAGGATGCTGGGGTGGTAAGACAACAACACATTGGCCATATCCAGGAACCATATATGTTCCATCTGTCTGTGCTCTGATGTGTTCCTGGGCATAGCTTGAGCTACAGTTTAAGGTATAGCCTGGATCTGCAGGACCTTTGCAGACCTAACCCAGGGGTCTGTACTCTCAGGGAGAGCTGTCTTGGAAACAGCCTGGAGTCAGGGACCACTGGTGGGGGCAGAAGTGAGGGTGGGGGTGCTAGAGCTATTGCCTAAGTGGAACTTGAGACATTACCATATTGAACAGCGCAAATATAGAACTGTTTAATCACCTCAGAGTTCTGTTGGACAGCACTAGCCAAGAGTGCCCTTTCTTAAATTTTCTGCTTCTCTGAGTATTACCGGTTCCTCTAGGCCCTTCAAATTACTGATATAAGCAGAGACATAAAGAATCACTGGTTTCTGGAAGAGGCGGAGCCCCAGTATAATGGCTTTTCCGGATAAGATGTACAGAAATACAAATGACCTACCTAAGATAGAGGGGATCTGAAGTTCAGTTTAAAATTTTCAGGATTCTGTGCCAGGTCTAGGTCCCTATCTCAGGTTCCCCATTACCAGTTGGGTGATCTTTGGGGTAGCTTTTGGGCAGCAGCTTTCTTGCCAGCAAAAAAAAAAAAAGCTGAGATTCACAATGGTTATGAGGATTAGATGAGACAGTGGAAGAGACAGTGTCTGGCTCATGGTAAGTGTAGATTTCTTAATCAGCTCTTCTTGACCTTTTGGATGTTAATCTCTACTCTGCTGCGGGTAGAAGCCACAGGTCACCTTCACATCAGATAGCAGGTAGAGGCCAGTGATGGCTAGCTGTTCTACTCATTCTCTCATATTTGTTATGAACACACCAACTGCCTGGCCTCATGTTCTGCAGTTCTGGATCATATGGAGCTAGAAAACAAATCTCTGAGAGGAGAAACTCACCGTCTCATGGGAGAGATCAGTAAGCAAATGAATAATTATACAGCCAGGGAACCAGAAGTTAACTGAGAGAGCACTGAGGGAAAATCACAGAGGAGGTGATATTGAGGCCAAGACAGGACAGGTGAATAGACGTTTGCCTGCTCAGCAAGAATATGGGAGAGGGCATACCAAGCAGAAGTAACAGCACACCCCCAGAAAAAAAAAAGGAGACTGTAACTATAAAGCAAGATAAATCCAATTATGAAGGTCCTTAAGCACTAGGCCAAGGAATTTGCCTTGTAGGGGGCGCAAAGCCTCTACAAGAGAGTAAAGTCTTCATATTTTGAGTTTTGAAAAGATTTCTATGTTGTCAGTGTGGAACAGTTTAGATGAGTTAAGACTGGAGAAAGGGAGGCCAGCCTCAATTTGCTCTACCTTCTCCCAACCTCACTCCAGCCCTTGAATAACAATAG